TTTGAATCTTTAGATATGTGTGTTTCAGTTAGAAAAACCATAAAGGCCAGGAAACAGTAAGAAACTATAGGGAGGGTGGTTAGAGGGAGGGGAGACAGAATGTGGTGATATAAAGAGGGAAAGCAGATGGCATAAGAAGAGTTAAATGGCATAGGGAATGGGAAGGTAGGATAGATGAGGGAGAATGGGGAAGGATAAATAACACTAAAGGCCTTTAGAAAAAGTCCTATGGAAGCATACTACTGTAGATGCTTCATAAAACATATACATATATAATGTAAAATAATTTAAATGGAATTACCCTATAAAGGGGGTGAAAGCCCCTATCAGACACCACAGACTAGCAAATAAGAGGCCCAATGCCAGGAATAGGCTCACTCTTTCGAAGTTGTTGACCAAGTGGATCTCTCCCTCAGTCCCTCAAACAATTCTGGCTACTGCATTGTTCTTAGCTACCCTCCAGAACCTGACGGTAAGACCCTATGCTGAAAGGTTTTTTTCTTTGACACGGTCAATCAAGTTGGTACTGAATTTTAAGCTTCATCTCTACTGTCTAGCTTTCATAGTTCTGGAGGTGCTATGTATTTTAATGTAAGAGAAAACGAATGTGAATACTGTGAGCTGCAATAATGACTGCATTGGCAAGATATGCCCACAGGAGCAATAGCAGCATGAATATTATGGGAGTAACGAACCACCTTCTAATACTAACACTATTATGAGGGACAAGAACCGTGGCTGGGCACAAGTCATACAAGAGACCCTACTGCTATTGTTCTGCTAAATGGACACTGCACTAAACCAAATCCTAATGATATTGTTCTACCCATATATTTGGTGCACCTCTCAACTCTCAACAGAGACAATTCTTATTGCAGCAGATGGCCATGAGCACAGAGACCCACAACTGTTTAATATGTAGAGACTAAGAGACTGCAGAGTGCTCAGCCCTAAATGGGACACATATATCACACCTTCCTCTCCCAAGAATCAGAGATCATTACAGAAGATGGAACAAAAAGATTTTAAGAACCAGAGGCAATGAATGAATACAATTCTGGAAACTGTTTTCTTGGACACAGCAGGTCAGTAGCACATATGAACAATACTTGTGGCAGCATGCATGAGACCTGTGCAAGGTGAAACCAGACAAAAACCCAGCATGGATGGGAAATGGACAAGAAGTCCCAACCATAGCTAAAGAGTTTCTGGTAATCAGTAGCTGCTTTTCTTTAAGGAAATGACACCTGCTGGCGTCACCGAATTCCAAGAGATGAACCCACACCCAAGAACATTTGCGTAACACAGATTAGACTCCATAAG